ATAATAATAATAAAAAAGCCAACGGCCATAGCGTGCTGGTCACACCGGTTCCCGTACGATCACCGAAGTTAAGCAGCATCGGGCGTGGTGCAAACTTGGATGGGTGACCGTTTGAGAACGCCACGTGCTGTTGGCTTAAAAGAGCAAAAAAAAAATGAGAACAAGACAAAGTAAGAACCAAAAAACAAATCTTGTTCTACTGTCGACCTGAGGCAGCTCGACGAGAACGTGAATTTCACTGCTTCTGACCCTGGCCACTCCAAAGATGTTAGTCACCGGAGCCCAGTTCAGGAGACAAATCGTTCCCATCGAAAAAGACGGACTCAGGAAGACCTTCAAGAATTGATGTGGTGCTATCTTATAATAAGTGGCACCACCGAAATTCGAGTATTTGTCCCTAAGGAATCGGGTAGAAACCTCGGATAAATACTTAAAAACTCCGACAAGTAGCCTTGTCGTGTTTAATGGTGGATAATAATAATAATAATAATAATAATAATAATAATAAATATTATAATAAATATAATAATAAATTTTTCGAATTATTTTTACGTTAATAAAAAAATATAAAAAAAAATTTTCGTTGAATTTTTATTATTATTAATAAAAATCGTGTCAGAAGAAAATATGCGAGAGAATGTGTGTATGTGTGTGTGCGAGAGAGAGAGAGAGATAGAGAAAATTCAATTCGTAATAATTTTTCCGGTTAAATTAAAATTTGACTAATATTTCGATTATGATTAAAAAAAATATAAAAAGACATATAAAAAGAATGTTGTTCTCAATAGATTTTTATCGCCCGTTAATTTTTTTTTATTTTAAAGAATCGTCTTATCATTATTATTATTATCAATACTCATTAATCATTGTTTCATAAACAAAAAAAAAATTAAATTTTTTAAAACGAAAGTTATTATTTATTATTATCAATATGTTTTCATAACAAAACATGATAATCGTAACAATTAAATCGTAAATGGGGGGAAAATAAAAAAAAATTTTCCAAAGAAAAAATTTCCGGGATTTTTCGAGAAAAAGAAAATTAAATTATCTTTTCATAAAAACAATTCATTCCCGTTTGTTTTCAACCGATAATTTATTGTTTAAACGGTCGATTTGGTTCGAATTAAGAAAAAAAGGTTTAAAAAGGGATGAGGGGATGAAAAAAAGGAAAATTACTAATTAAAAGTTGGCACTTAAAAAAGAGAAAATTTAAAAAAAAAAAAATCAAAATTATCATCATTATTTTTTGTTTGTTTTCAGGGAGACGGAGAAGAAAATATGGTGGATTCGAGTTACGATGAAATGACGACGACGGAAGGAAATTGTAACGAAAATTTAGAAAGAAATTTACTCGCACTTAGATACCCGTTTGCGTTTGTTTTGAGAGTTAGAGTCGGACAAATCGTTTGCGGAATTTGTACTCTCGTTATGGGCGCTGTTGCTTTCATTGATGAAAAAACAGAAATTAATATGGGAGTCGGTGTAATGGCTGGAGCCTCCATGATTATTGCTGCCGGTTCGTTTGTTTGTTTAAATTAATAAACGTTTAGTAAAACGATTATAATTGTACAAAAGTTTAAATTAAAGTTATTAAAATTTTTTCGTTTTTCTTTTAACTTGTTAAACTTTTTTCCAGTTTTTCTTTTTAAACTTTTTTTTAAAAAATTTTTTTTCTACAGCCAACAGCATTTATTATTCACGCGGATTTGACGGTTATCAACCGGCAACAGTCAAAACTGGAAGATTAGCAAAATTTAGATTTTTAGGTTCGACATTAAGAATAATGATACTTAATGGTATTTTATGGGCTGTTGCTTCCATATTAGAATTTGTACTCGTCGTTTGTTGCATACGAACGATGTATCTCGGCAAGTATTATTATTATTATTATCAATGTTAAGAATAATTTTTTTTTTTTCTCCAACTCGCGATGAACTCTTTGACAAACAAACAAACAAAACAATAACAAACAAATAAATAAATAAATATCGTTAAGATCAATTATTTGTGGCATCCATTTTTTTGTCACGTGAGTAATAACGAAAACAATAATTACGTTGAAATTCAATTGAATTAAATTGAGTATTATTATTATTATTTATTTTTTTATTGTTCCATATTGTTTGTAGTAGTTTCTAAAAAAAAAATTTTCCAATGATGAGCTTTCGCTACAATTATTATTATTATTATTATCGATGAAAGTCGCCGACAACGTAAATGTCGGGTCGAATAGTAAACAAAAAACGAAATTTTGTCATTATTAAATTTACGCTTTCGAATGTTTGATCGTTGCGAAAAAAAAAATTTGGGGGCGGGGCGAGGGGGGTTAAATTTGAAAAGTTTTAGCACGAAGTAAAAAAAAAAAAAAAGGGAAAAAAAGTTTTGGAGAAAAAAAAAAATTACGTGGAAAATTTTAATTTAATTAATTTTTTTTTTGTTGTTGTTGTTGTTCGGTCAGCGTGACTGACACAAAATAATAATAACGTAAAATTTTTTCTTTTCTTTTTTTTTGGGGGGGGGGAGGGAGTGAGGGAAAGGAATTATTTTTTTAATTACGTTTTAAATATTTTTACCCCCCCTCCTCTTCCACTTTACGCCACTTTTTCCCTTTTTTTTTTTATAACAAACTACGTAAATTTTTTTTTTCTTACCCTCCTCCCCCCCTTTTATAAATTATTATCTTTTAATAAATAATTTGATGGTTAAACAAATCGATTACGTAATTTATGATGTCATTAATTTATATTATTTTTTTTTATTGTTTACAAAAAAAAAAATGTAATTTTAAATGATAGAAAGTGCGCGACGAGCTGGAGAAAAAAAAAAAGAAAACTGGAATGATCGGATGCGTTTTTTTTACGTAAAAACGTCATTATTATTATTATTATCGTATTATTCCAGTTACGAAATAGTTATATGAATTGTTATTATTATTTGTTTTTATGTATTAACAATTTTTTTTTTTTTCATAAATTTATTTAAATAATTTTTTGTCAACCGAAAGAAATTTTCATAAAATTATTATTTATTATTCTTTTTCCCCCCTTTCCCCTCCCCCTTTTTTTCACATCTACCTAATATTACCTGAGCCTCTCTCTTTCTCCCCCTTCTTCCCCGATGCCCTCGCCTCCCCGAAATTAAAGGGTAACGTTTGCCAAACCATTAATAATTGCTTTCATTTATTTTTTTTTTTAAATTAAAATTTTTTTCCGTGTCTTTCTTTTTTAAAGTTCAAAAAAAAAAAAAAAATTTCGCAACGTTTTTTTTTTTTTATTTTGTTTTCAATTTTTTGTTTTTATTGATATTTTTTATCTAGTGACACGTCAAAAATTAAAAAAAAAAAAAAAAACCTTCAC